CAAATTATAATGCTAAAAGATTATAAAAATAGCAAATATTACAAAGAAAAAAATGCTTGATTAACCTGTATATTATCCCTTTCATAAAAAATTTCATTGAAAAAATCTACACAGATATATTTTATCTACCATTAATATTTCCAGAATAAAGGGAAAATTATTTCTTGAATCAATAAAAAAAAAAGACCAATAAATTCATTTACAACAATGAAACAAATCATGAAATATTAAAAAAAAAATCAAAATCTAATTGAGTTTTTTTTTTTTTTTTTTTATTTGCTAGGGACAAGCAATAAGTTAGACGAGGGGTGTGATAGAGTGTATAAGAGTACATTTTAATGCTCATTGTTCATGATTATTTGCTAATACATAAGTTATTTGAGACTGTTAATGATATTTTTCTATAGTTGAACAATGACCAATCATAATTGTGGTTTTAATAATTTTACTGTGGAAATGAAGCCACATATAATAAAGGGAAAATTAGGCCCAATGCTCTCTTAAACTAACTAAATTGAAGAATACCCTTTTAAAACTAATTAAACCATTCAACCCGTAATTAATACGTCCTAAACTTAAAATCCAATTTTCATTAAGTACAAACCTAACAACCTATGATACAAAACTAACAACCTACAATCATCTGAAAGAGCATAATGCAAAATATCTCGATGCAACTATGAAAGTTATTTTACCACCGGAAGCCGCGAGCACCTTCGCTAGCCGCTGTGGCTGCTCCCTGAAATTCTCATTATAAAATCTTCGAGCCGCCTTGGAGTACCTCGGTTCTGTCGTCGAAGCTGGCTGCTTGGCTTTTAGAATTGTTATCTATATTATTATTATTATTATTATTATTATTATTATTATTATTATTATTATTATTATCTTTTTTCTTCTTTTTCTGAGTATTCGCATGGGCCATGGCTTGAATGAGGCGCGCGCAAGGCGTGGTTTGGAAAGTGAGGTTCCCTTTTTCATCGTGGACAATCCATGGGATGAATAGCTGGTCTCCAAGTTCTGAACTCACCGATTCCGGAGATTCCGAGTTCGGAGCGAAGGTTCGTCGTAATTTGGATTCCGGTTTGAGATTGGGTTTGGGCAGGGCAAATTTGATGTTAAATTCTGTGGTGGTAGATGAAGAAGAGCTTGTAATGAGGGTGCGGAGGTGGCGGTGAGCAATGTGGGACACGAAAATTGGCCTGGAAAGGTGGAGAGTGGTGAAAACACAGGTAGCCGCCGCCATCTGAAGTGGTTATCTCATTGAGTGTTGAAGATAATTTCACGTCATTTTCATTTTTTAAATTTCTTCATTTCGAGTATTTCGTCACGTTTTTGAGTTTGTCACTTTTTTTGAATTTTGTCATTTTTTTTTTGAATTTTGTCACTTTTTGAGTGTTTGTTACTTTTTTATTATCTGTCATTTTTTTAATTTGTATAATTTCTTTTAATTCGTGCCACTTTTTTGAATTCGTCACTTTTTAAAAAAAATTGTCACTTCTTTTTTATTGTTTATCACTTTTTTCAGTCACCTTTTTGATTTCTATCACTTTTTTTAGTGACAAACATCAATTTTTAATAAAAGTGACATGGTATGTCATTTTTTTTAAAAAAAGTGACACTTAACTTTAAAAAGTGACATTGAGTCACTTTTTCTGTGTCACTTTTTTTTTTTCTGTCACTTTTTCTATTAAAAAAAGTAACAATTGATTTTACATAGTATTTTTTACTTTCAAAATGTGTTTCATATGATTTTTCAAAAGACCTTTAATTTTAAGGGTATTTTTGTAAGAAGCCCTATAATAAAGCTTAAGGCCCAAAAGATAAGACTCATTTCAAGTGGGCTTGACCCAGCTCAATCAGAAAAAAAGAGAGGCGGGATGAAGGGAGCAAATCAGTGGAAGATTGTGCGGGTTAAAGTAATCCCAAATTGGAAGCGCATACTGTCTTTAGTATTCTCACCATATCTCCTTCATCTGACATCGTATTGAGCTGATTCAAGAGGCTTTGGAAAAATAATTTAATGTGCTACAATTTCTCCTAAAATATAAATTTTGAAATTTCTACGTTTTCCTAGCGAAAACGGCCCATAATATAAGGCTGAAAATCTGTAGAATTGATCACGTGGATTCGGGATTTATTTTTTCTTTACTTGTAAAGATGGCTTGAAAGACAGAAAAGATGGAACTAAAACGCGACACGGGAAGACGGCAAGAAGGGCATTGGGAGGACGGAGGCTGGAAGGCAACACCATAACATAGGAAGCAGAATTTTTGAGTTTTTACTTCCAAACCTCTTTCAAGTTCTTGATGTCAAACTATTTTATTAAGATTTTCTTCAATTTTAGCATGAACTAATTTCTATTTTCTAGGGATTTCGATATAGCCTAACTATGATGATGTGAATCTTTCATTACTTGGGTTAATCAGTACTGGATCTCATTGTTGAGTATCTCATTCTAGACTTAATGCTTGTGAATAATTGATCACCGTTCCCATGAGTTGGGATTCAATTTGTGACAGAGAAGTAATAGTTGTTTCAGCCTTTGTTTGAGATACCACATGGACT